GAATCATATAAACTTAATTTAAAGGTGAACTTAGTCCCCGAAATAAATTAGAACCGGAGATATAAAATAAAACGTTTGAGAGTTTTGTGTGCATGTCTTCCTCATTTTTCTTACTTATATTAACGTAAAATACAAATATTATTGACAGAATCTACAATAAGATAAGAGAAATCCAGCTTTTCGACGGTTGTAATAATGTTGAATTTGGATAAAGTCCAGAGGAGTTATGAATTTTTAAGTCCGGAACACCGGATTTTGGAGAGTTAAAAAAGGTTGATCCATGTACATTTTTCATTGATATAAAAGTTAGTTTCTAAATGTTTTCAAGGGGGCTTAAAACGAATCCGAATCGCTTTGTTCAAACGTTTTTTTTTTTTTTTTTTTGGTCTACTTTACTAAAAGCATCTATTGGATTTTGTAACTTTTCGTTCATCTACTCTAATTTAATACGATGTTGCTTATTATTTTCTTAACGTACCTTATTATAAAACTACAATTAAAAAAAAATTACTTAAATTTTTGAAGAAAATAACGTCTCCTAGATCCTATTGGAAAGAACATTATGATTAGGACACATGTCTTATTTTATTCCGATATAGTATCACCATAAAAAGTTTCATTAAATCTTCGATCCCCTTAAAGTTATGCACAATATTGGCATTGTACCTACTCATTTAATAACGTCTATAAAACATTGTCTTGTATAACTTTACCATGTATCTTTCGACTGTTTGCCCCCAGTTAAAACCGAGTTGCAATATTTTGCGGACTGGTTGCAAAATAACCCACCATATTTCTCAACTGTAAGTAGTCATATGAGTCCTCATTACCCAGTTATCTTTCATGAAACAATTAATCAAGTGGTAATTGCGTGTGAAAATGACCAAAGGTCAAGCGGTATTCTCTGATTAATTTATAATTTGCATTAATTTTTCTGAACCCCTCTTACAATATAATGGAGGAATTTTCTTAGTTTCATTATATATTCGTCACAGCATAAATTGCCATGATCTGTATGAATCGGTTGATCATCGAATGAAATCACTGCACTTGTAAATTTAGAGTAATTTCTAGTGTTTTTATTCAAAGTCAAGAATTTTTCCTCTGAACCGTGCAAAAACCTGCCTTATCTTCTTCGACTTGCTACTTTGCCGCAATTTAAACCCTAGAAACCACAAATATCGTGGAAAAGAAGTACTTTTTACTCACTTCGAACAGAAATCTCTTCACGTACAAAACAACTCAGGGACTATTTGACTATTCACGTTATTTGTTGTTTAAATAAATCTGCACAAGTGCTAAACAAACGAAAGATTTGCTTATCTGTTTTCTTTATTTATTCTACATTATTCGGGTAGACGACAGAAAAACAAAACAATTGGAAGCATTCTTCCGTAATTATAGGCATATAGCATCACCAGCCAAAAATTCAACAAAAACCAAAATATTTTTGTTTACGTTTTCTAAAATATAACCGTATACTTCTGCTCTATTCTTTTTCTCCAATTTCATAAATCCTTGTTGTTTTTAAAATTCACGGACGCTCTTTGGCTTATAAATTTCCTAATTACTTTGTTCAGTTCAATCGACTCGATCTTTCTTTTAAGGTCATTGTGCAATTCTTTTACATCGGACAGTTCTATTTTGTTCCATTCCAAGTCCACATTCCAGACAGTTCTATCCTGTTTAGCTGTATCAATGTGTGCGCTAGTTTTGCTTACATACTTGCATCTTATTTCCAGAAGGTGAATGTCATTGACTAACCTTGTTTCGATTCCCCGGGTCATCATTGAACCCTTGGTTATAGCAATATAGTAATAATATGGGAGGCAGATTCTTCCTCCTTATTGCATAACCTACAGATAATTTTTGTTGGTGTTTTCTTAACAAATGAGCCCTACCAATAGAGCAATATTGCACTACCACTTCATCAAGTGTTACTAACTGTAGCAGTGGATCCTAAGTTTGAAAGGTTTGGGCTTTCTGTCTTCCTTTGGCCAGTCTGTGCATTACCCAAAGTACTTTTATGCCCTGGCACTCACGACATTGTGAGTTTATATTTGCCATGATTTTGGAGGTGTTTTCTCAGATGATGTGATCGGTATAGAGGTGTATCACTTCAGCTGTAGCCGTAGATTCTGTTCCAACTTGTTATCCGTGTGATAGGTTCTGGGCCCATATTTTATCATTACAGATCCTCCGTTGATCTGCTCCTTTATGAAAAATCCTTTCTGCCCTGGCACCTATGATATTGTTATGTCAGATTTATCAAGCTTATGGCTGTTTATTTTCAGATGACAGTGATTGGTGTAGTGCTCTCAATTGTAGCAGATTTTCAGTTTTGGCGAGGGTTCTATGAACCATGTTCGTCTATTTCTCCTCTTGTATAGCGTGGACCCATTCTAGAAGGATCCTATGTTTAAACTATTATAATGGTTACAGACTCAGTACCTATAATTTGGATGTTGCAGTTCCGTTCAATATGTTTTTTTAGGTTTTGGAGGCTTCGACCATTTTGACATTCCAATGATTTTAAGGTAGCTTGGTCAGATATCATGAGGATATTTTTTTGTCAGTGTGACCTCGTTTAAGATTTAAGCATGTATTTTGGCTTGAAAGACCATGGTATACTTTAATAATGAGTTCTATTGCTGATAGAAAAGTTCACTTACAACGTCACGGATATATGGAAGTCAATTCTTCCGTTTTTTGCGAATTTTACCGTGTTGTAGAAGACATCAAATTACGAAAATCTCTTTCTCTATTCTAGGTGCAATTTATACTAGCAATTGTTTGAGTAACTGTTGAGTTGGTTACAATGCTGTTGATTGCGTCAACAAACTGGTGGAAAGTAAGATAATTTAATCCTGTTTTCATACCCAAGGGCTTTCTTTTGCATTTTTGACAACGTGGTAAATAGATAGACACGTATGCAAGGCCTAGAGACGAATTGACACTATCAGCATAAATGGCCCAATCCTATTTATACTTGGGCTTGAATTTCAAGTTATGAAAGCGCTCGACGTCTTATTCTGCAAAAAGATAGCAGTCCAAGCTGAAATTTTCGTTAACGTTTTTTTTAATGGTATAAGATATCTTCGAAAAGGATTTCGTTGTCAGCAAGAAAAAATCACAATTCAATTTCTGGGATCATCAATCGGAAAGAAACGGTTTCGCCGTTTTTTTTTCTCTATCTATTGTCGGTAGAATAGACAAATTGGCCGGATTGAAGAAAAGGAGGCGCAAAGGACTGAGGGTTGTGAGGTGGACCGAAAAAATTATCGTCGGTGGATTAAACTCGTGAAAACAGTTCTATCAATTCAGAAAAAGCCAGGTCCGTTGCGGTGATCGAAAGTAGAACGGATGTGCACGCAAGTTGTAAGTCATTAATCAGTAAAATATATTAATATTTAACAAAACGGATTCAATTAAATGTTTTCCTTTTTTAATCATTTCACGTCGGGATTTGGCGAGAATGCCCTTAATTAGCCCGTGATATTTTACCGGGGACAATTACTATTTGAATGTCAACGTAAAGATAAATCGTATCTTTTCTGAGTAAGGTTTCTTAATAATTGAACTCTTGATTGAGACGTTGCAAAAGAGTATTAAAAGAAAAATTACAGTGTTCATTAAAGATGAAGTAAATTTTTTAAAAGTCATGTTCTTGATGGATCAGAAGTCCCTGGTTTAGGCATTACACCTCAGCTCGTTAGGTTCGCGATTTCCGCGGATCGGTTTATCTTCAAACGAGGTCGTATGGCTTCTCGAGGTCGGAATATGTTCTGAATCCACCCAAGAACACGAAATCGGACTTTCTGATTTAATATTACGATACGAAAAACATGACAGAGTTTGAACCCCTGCTGCTATTTAAGGATTGCAACCTTATGTCAAGCTAATCCGTGTGGTGATTATGGGGTTCAGCAGCCGTCACTCCACAGCTTGCGGAAGTCACCGGGCTTCACACCTGTGATTGTATTTTTGGAGGAGCAGGAGGGATTCGCTTCCAGCTGTAGCACACTCAACCTACCTCACAGAGATTTTCCACAAAGTCCAAAAAACGGACATTTTCTATAACAATTTTGTGTATGCTATGATTTACTATAACAACTTCACTAAGTCGAATGTCAAAAAGAAAATCAAGTGAAAAATCAACGCCTGGTGCCGAACAAAAAAAAAAGATTTTTGTACCCTAACTAGACTCTGTTTATTGTTAAGACACGACCAAATAAACAGTTTATAAAAAAAAATAATTGAAAAACAAAAATGGAATGACTAAAGAAATTTGCATATTTAAAAGATCCAGAACTGAGAGATTGAATATTTGCAATTTTTCATAATTATTGATATGTTATATATTTTTTAGGAAATTTTTGTTTGAACTGTGCTTAATAAACAGGTTATAAAAAAGAATTGAATAAAAAATCAATTAACTATAGAAATTTGCAGATATAAAAAATTCAGAACTGAGAAATTTATTTACTTCTGTGTGCTATTTCCATAATTATTGGCATTTAATATAATTTTTAGGAAATGTTTGTTTAGACTGGGCGTAATAAACAACTTATAAAAAAAAGAGTTAAATAAAAAATGAAATAAGTATATAAATTTGGAGATATAAAAAAATTCAGAACTGAGAGATTTACTCCTATTTGCTATTTTCCAAAATTTTCGGTATTTTATGTTTTTGGGGGAAATTTTTGTTTGGACTGGGCTTAATAAACAAGTTAATAAAAAATGAAATAAGTATATAAATTTGCAGATATAAAAAAATTCAGAACTGAGAGATTTACTCCTATTTGCTATTTTCCATAATTATTGGTATTTAAAGTATTTTTTGGAATATTTTTGTTTAGACTAGGTTCATTAAACAGCTTATAAGCAAATAACTGAATAAAAAATGGAAGAATTATATACTTACATCCCTAACCATACCTAACCAAGTATTTCTTTTGTGCTATTAATGTTTTTTTAATTTACCCTTTTCTTTGTTGCAGAAAATGGATGTGAACTTGCCTAGTTTCAGAGGAGATAGCGTGTTGTGAAATAGGTAAGATTCTACATGTATTGTTTTTTTTCCTTTTCTATATCAAAACATCTTCTACCCAGATGACTAAAGTTAGAAGTTCTTCGGCATTGCTATAAAAACTTGTTTGAAAGTGTCAACAATCAGGTGACTAGGTCCGGTTGATTGGAGAGGACAGATTTGGTGTGACGTGAACGGAAGGGCATCGTAACTTGGGCCGGTCACGATTTGTGTCTAAAATTGCAACGGTATTGCCTAATTCTTGTCTTTCGTGTGAAAGGACAGGAGTTGATCGTCAATAATGGAAATGACTTTATTTCTCTGCCGGTTGTGCCTATGGAGGACACAATGAGGAGTATTTTGCACAATTGTAAGAAAGGATTCTTCTTTTAGTTAAATTCTCCAAAAAGAGAACATACAATTCCGGATGATACGTGACGTAAAACAATTTAGGCAATTCATTTCACAAAAAACAAATTTTGAAAATTGCCAACATACCAGTATTGATTACGCTTGCATTTCCTCATTAATCTGACATAATGACCCACATTACAAGTTTCGATTAGAATAATTCACAAACCTCTACAATTTCAACTGTAAGAATTAAATTCGTACATATTTTATAATATGTAATATAATATAAATATATACCCAACTTAGGTTGTTCTAACTCCAATGTACTAATCCATGTGGCTTATTGTACCTGTCCTAGTTCCTTAGTTCAGTTAAAATGACTTGAAACTTCTTCATAGAAAGAGGAGGTCATATATTGATTGTCATTGCTGTTGTTGATTCGCATTCGAAGATTCTTATTCTTCCTGCTAATTCCATAACTAAGAAATGGAGTCATTGACAATAGACCCATTTTCTGTAAGTTTTTTCCCAGATGTCAGTGTCATGTTCATGGCCCTATATAATCCTTTGTCCGGACCTATAGAGATAGTCTGTTTGATCTCATTATCTCAATTGCAGGTTCTGGGCTTGAGTGTTGGTACAGATACTCCGGCCAGTTTGTATGCTTGATCATTACCCTAAATCCGTTTGTGTCCTATGTGTTATGTGTATTGTTAGGTTATATTTTCGCAAGTTTTGGAGGTGTTTTCTCAGATAATAGTGCCCGATATAGAGCCTTAAGCCATGATCAAGTTTTACCATCTGTGGTAGTTAGATAGTGTTGGCGAGGGTTCGTTAAACAATGCTTTTATATGTATGGCACCTCTAGATTTCGACCACTTCCCATTTTACTTTGTGAGGGCCCATTGTGGGATAGAAGATCGTTTGATCTTGTTATCCTGGGTCAGTAATAGTTCTTACAGACCTTTCCCTGGCCAATCTGCTTGTCCATTACCCAAAATCCTGTGTTTCCTAGAGCCCATGGCATTGTATATATTATGTTCTCCAAGGTTTTATAGGTTTTGGATGCGTTCACCGACTATTTTGGACGTGAAAGACAAGTTTCATCTCATATTTTGGCTTTCACGGCACACACCTGACCCCTTTCGCTCGTTTTGGATTCATCTTATACACCGTATAATTTGATTTTTTCCTGCTTACTTCTTCCTCTTTTGTCATCGGTTAAAACTTATCGGATGTTGGAAAACATGTTTACAGGGTCTTTATTTCCAGGGATTTTATTTGTTCTTCTTCTTTCGGCACTTATTGTTTAAGAATCGGGCTTGTCTCCGAAAGGAAATTTTTTATCATGGCAGTTGTGTCGACTTGCATTTTATCGAGCGGTAGCCAAGATCGCGATTGAGCACTTTTCTCTTTTATCAAACCGGATGGTTTCTTTTTAAATCTAGTCTTAAGGAAGTACCAAGATTAAAGCTCGTTTTTCCTTTAAAACTCAGATTATCAGGCTCTATAATGCAGATAATGCTGCAACAGCTAAACACTTACAGAAAAAGCTTTAAACAATAGGTTTCTCGAGCCTGCTTGACAATTACATTGTTTATATATTTACAAAAATAATATAACGAGTTGAACCGATATTTTATTTTTTATTTTTATGTTTGTTTACCTAGACTATTTATATTATTTTAATCGATTGTCCTTAAAGAAAACAGTTATGAGTATTGATGCATTTGACCTTAGACTTCTGCAACAACTGAAATTGTTTAGAACAACTGTGTATATAATTATAAGCACATTTTTTTCCTATGTTTTCTCCATTTATCAGATATGATAATTGAATAATGACAAACAATAAATTGTGCGCTCTTGCATGCCATGAGTAAGCTGGGTGTGTCGAATCGATTAGAAATATGATGATAAATAATAAAAACTTCCCCTGGCGATAAATTTGTATATGAGACTTCTTAATTTTTCATTTAAACCAGTCGATTTTCAATTGGTTTAATTTTTGATCTAAGCACTCTGTACCTTTCAACATCAAATATATCGATTTGAGTCGTTAGAATCCTTTTGAATTCTTGGGATAATGTATTCCGCTACTTTCAGCGATTGGAGGACAACTGGTGAAGGATGTGGTGGTGAGGTATTTAGGTGTATTACCAATCAAACTTAAGTGGAGCAAGGTTCCAAGCAGGACAAATTATGTAGCGGACTTAAGTAACGAGAGATGAATAACGCTTACTTTGCATTTGGGCATCTGCAATAACTAAAAATATAGACGGCCGGACAAACCGAAAGAACCATTTACAGTCCAGTCGAACAGGAAATAGATACTTCGGCGGCACATATACTTAATTTATTATTATTATTTGATAGACCAACTACTGTATATTTTACAAATCTATAATTAAAGAAGATTTTTTTATATTTATGTTTATATAAATTTTAATTTTAATTTATTTTCGTGTGGTGAGAGCCAATTTTATTTTTATTTTTTGTTTTAATACCCAAATTTGTACAAGAATACTTAATTTTTTTATATTTTTTAATTTTAATTACTAATAACTTTCAAGTGGTATTCTAAATTACTCAAAAATGAATAGGGATATTGCCAATTTTGTAGTATTTACTTTTCCTAGCATTTATATTTTATTTTTATTGTAAATTGCATTAAAATTATAATGCTTTTTACGGAAGGAAAATTTAATTAAGGGATTTTGAAGAATATCAAAATGAAAGGTTAACGTAGGAATAAACATAATTTAATAATTATGTTTATTGACATAATAATTTTTTAAACAATTAATAGCGTGTAATGTCCTCGGTTGGCTAAAACTTTTCTGCACCTGTTACACATACTGTTAATAAGGGTGTCAATAATTTCATAAGGAATTTCACTCCATAAATGTTGCAACGCTGCACTCAGTTGTTGCAGGTTCAACAAGGTTCAACTGGCTGCGGATGGTGATCAAAAAGCCTTCTCTGCAACGGATCCCACATGTGCTCAATGGGATTGAGGTCTGGAGACTTGGCAGATGGGAAATTCCCAGGATTTTTAAACATTGATGAACAACTTTGCCTCTATGAGGTCTGGCATTATCATCCAGAAAATCCCAGTCAGTTAGATCCCTGGTTTGAGGGATGTATTCCTCGATAATTTCTTGGCCATAACAGTCTGTGAGGTTGCTTTCAACGATATGGAGTGCAGTTCGTCCTCCAATGTAAGTCCCAGCCCAGACCATTACACCGTCTCCTCCAAACTGCACTGAAGGGAGCATGAACTGGGGCATTGCACGCATCCCCGTTCTCAGGAAGGAACGCGACTCATCAATCAACATAACAACAATCCAATTGGTGTTCTCTTCTAGTTGCTCGCTGCACTCTATTCTGTAGTGCGGTTGAGGCTCGAGACCCCGAAATGGTTCACCTCGGGGTCCTTTCTCAATCCAGGTTCCTTCATTCTATCCTGTGACCCCCTCCCAACCCTTGGTTACAAGGGGGGTGTCCGGGCGCAAAATAATGATGTAGCCCAGAGGGCGTGGAAACCTCTCTAAAGCACAAGCTGTACTCGGATCGGCATGGTGCGGGGCGGCGGGTGCCTTATCAAAGGCACACGAGGGTCCGTGTACCAGATCCTGTCTGCATAAACGGGGCAGGATGCATGACCATCTGTACCACGGGGTAACAGAAACGTTACAAAATTCAGCCCATGTAGGACTGAATTCGTGGTGGCTTGTGGTGATGCCCTTGGCGGGAACTTAGAGAAGAGGCTGTCTTCTACCTGTGACCTTCGCTCGAAACTTGCGTATGACCACCGTTATTCACCTGGCATCACGGGATCCGGCGGATCGGACGGTAGCACGTAGGCGTTGAGGACGCGATGATTGTGCTGAAAAGTCCTTCAAATGCGAGAGTAGTGGCGGATGGGAACAGGTAGTGAATCGGTTGCTCCTAGTCGAGTATGCTTTGCACGTAGGTGTAGGCGAAGCTCGATAGGAGGCTTTACCGTACGCGGTGCTCCTCTAGTGGGTGGTTAGAAATTCCACTTTAAACGAAACCGCGGCCGGAGTGGATCGGGAAGGAAGTTTCGACGCTAGAAGAACCCCAATACTCTGGGAGATAGAGTCGCCTTCTCTATCTAGGGAGCGCGCGGGAGACCGGGCTGATATATTTCAGCTTAGGTAGCATAAAACCTGCGCGCGGCATACGGTCTGATGCTCAATGCAGGCCCGGCCACTTGGAATGGACAAGCGGGGAGCGAAGTTGTCTTGGCCCTTCGGGGCTGAGCTGCCTCTACACCAATGCTGCGGTAGTAACACAATCCTGTCGTATGCGGAGGTGCGTCAGTTCTCATCTTGCGAATCAAAACGTCCGGTAAGGCCGAATAGGCTAGGTGCGGACGTTAAAGATCTTCAGAGTCCTTTTTAGGATGACCTGAGTATGCGGGAACCTCATGCACCCTATTCTCCTTAGTTGCTGGTGGCGGGCTGTTGCTGCAAGTCGTTTCAAAGGGGCATACGGTGTGAGGCCAACTTCCCACAAACGATTACGAGACGTTTCTGTTGATAAAAGCCTTTTCAAAGCATCTTAAACTTCATTTAGGGGATCTGGTGGCACTATGGAAAGAGTTCCGTCTTGCAGCAGTGACAATATTTCTGTCCTCCCTTAGC